TAAATAATGCACCAAAGAATATAAACTAATAACATGCAAAAAGTAGACAAATTCATTAACTTCTCAAAATTTTCCTGGCTTTCTAACAATGCCATAAGAGCCATTATAAATTCATCCAAGCTGGTCATTGTGTTCAGAATACAACATTATACAATACGTCATTTGATAGATGAAAACCTTGACTTTCTGTTGGTTATAGGTAATATATAATGAAACGTGAGAGAGAGCTATCAACAAATCCTGAAAGAGAGGATGTGACAAGTGGGTGTGGCAGGAGGGATCTGATTTTCTATTTGATAGTTCTGTAACCAAACAAAATTGAAGGCTATAAAAATTATGGTTTGTTTGAGCAATAGTGATTTTATAGAGACTATTTTACATTTCATTTTGTACATTTTCGAGGAGTGATGGATAAAATGGAGATTATGACATGATAAGAGAAAATGTGTCACGTGGGTCACACTAGTGGAAATTCAGGATTTTTTTAAATATTGCCTTGTAGAATTAAGAACTTAAAACTTGTATACTATTAAAAAATGATTATTAGCTAAGATTTGATGCTATTCTAATTGGTATAACATAAACAAAAAGTAGTTTAATAAAATTTTGAATGTAAGACACTAAAACCTTGTGCCATGCGCAGTAAAGTAAAGTGTGGATTGTTTATTATCATGCTATAAAGTCTTTATTATTTTACACCTTGTTAAGTAGTGACTACAAAAATGATACACATAATACACATCCATTCCAGTTTACACATTGGAAATGACATTAATTTTTATATATATTTCATTTTCATCTCAATAAACCAAAGTGTTTTTCAGATGTCCATATATGTTGAAGTTTATTTTGATTTTCTGACTTTAGCTTTACAAAAGTATTTTTGTTATTACATTAATGTTAAGTGTATGCTTCAGATACTTCAAGTGTAAAATGATTTGTTTACTTTTTATTGCTAGACATCGTCTAGTGGCTGCCGTACATCATTGTGTAACAATTCAGCATTTATTTTTACTTATAGATGTCTGGTCAGTAATTGTTATAGTCTGTGGTTCATCCATCTTCCTGCTTATACTAAGTGTTCTCAAGCTATTAAGGCAAAAACCCTTCGGACAGCCTACGATGTGTTGGTTCGGATGCAGTCTATCAGACTTCAACCTGCGGATGAAGTGAGTTCACATAATGATTAATTGGTAAATTAAAATTAACCAATTTTTTAAGTTCACAATTAGATTAAATTTCCTTTTGTAAATTTATAATTATGACCAGTGAAAGTGTGATTTGGAAAATAATATACTCATATGTGTCAAATATATCAAAACTTCATGTATTAAGAAAAAATTTCAATATTAAAAATAGTGTTAAAGCTTTCTTTGTAAACATTAATTTTGTGATTTTCTATCACTGCAGCAAACTAGCATTTCCTAAAATTATCTTACTAATATTACCATATGAATAACTGGTCTGCACCAAATCAGAACCAAACTAATCAGCAAGTGTGGTGAATAGTAAAAAACCTTTTCATCTGTGCCAATTATATTTGATAATATCATTTCTATTATATATGTAAACCAGTATTAGGTTAGGACAAGATATTTCTCAAACTAGAGGTGAAACACTATGTAATATTGCTATCATTATATTTCATTCAAAAAAACAACAAAAAAAGCTAATGGATGAAATTGTTTGAAATTTGACAAGAATCTTCCTACTCAATATATTCATGGACAAATCTTTATTTTATTTTATTAAAAGTACTTCACTAAAAAGTATGATTTTTTATGTGTGAAAGACTTGTAATGCTAAAAGACTGCCAAATTTTGTGAAGATATACACACTTTATTGAGAGTTATAAGTATTAAATCTACAAAAACTTTAAATGACTACAAAGAGGTCACAAGGTTGGTCAAATTGACCAAGCCTGTGTTGAGAGAGTTAAATGAATATTAAATGTTATTTTGAGGTAAATGTTTACATTTTATTTTCCATTTTCTTCACTATATCACTAATTCTAGTATATTATCACCAAAGTACAGTGCAAGGAAATGTTTAAAATTAAGAAATGGAAATATGTAATTACCTTTTATCTCTTTGTTGAATAAACTTAAAATATCTACTTTGGGTCATATGTGTAATTTTACATTTTACTTTTTCACTTATAATTTATTTTTAATGTTTATTTTCCTTTCCAATTCTTTATTTTTTATTATTTATGTCAAAATGTCAGCTGGTGCCCATATAACATTATGACCGACAGAATTGCTTTAGCCTACAGCAAAATGTTTGCACTTGCCTATTTTTATAAGTGATGAATAGAAAAACTTAAATAATCATTAAATCCTTCAAATATGAATTTTAAAATACAAATTATACATAATTAACTGAAATATAAAAGCAAAACCTAAATGTAATAGGAATTTTAAAATGCAAATAATAATGATACATGATTAACTGAAATACAAAAGTAAAATCGAAATGCAATTTAACTATCAAACTAACATGTATAAGGTGGGAAAAAATAGTCAAGTGTTAGGGACACTGATCTCAACTATGGACTTAGTGGCAGTTCACGTGTTATTTGAAAAATAATTTATTGGCTGTGTTTCCTTCTACTCTGGAGAAATTAAGCAAGAAACCTGCTGTTTCCAATGGTTATAAGCATGCCATTCAAGTCAAGAAAAGACTGTCGCTTAGCAATAGATGACTTTGGGATGTGGGTGTGTAGCATCTACCAGAAAGGAAAAAGTTCCTTCTTGGAATGTTAGCTGCTGTAAAATTAAAGTAAAGTTTAGACTTCAACCTTGTACTTGTAGAAACTCATCTAGACTGTTGTAGAAGTATTGAGACAAAACTGAACAGAAACGTAAGCCATGAAATCTAAGATATTTCAACTGCATATGTGTTACATGATAAAAAAAATTGAAATTTTAACTATTTGTTTCAGAGGTTTTTTTTTAAAAATAAAGGAATGATAAGTTGGATAATATATAACTTTGAATTATAATATATTTGATAATGCTAATTTCATTAAAACATGTTGAGAGTAAATTGGTTTAATTAAACTTTGAATGTAATTCAGTAACATTTTGCAACATGTGCAGAAAAGTATTTAAAAAGTTTAGTGGTTGTTAACTCTTTCACCTCAGGCTGATGTAATTTGATGTATTGTATCACTTCAATTGGAAAAGAACATTTATGCAAAAAACATAAATCTGAGCGATCATCAAAAAACCTCATAAGATTTTGTTAAAGTTGTGTAAGCATTGTGTACACAAAGAATGACATTATTTTAGTTATGTCTTTCTAATAAATCTTTTATTTATCTTTAGTAGTTATTTGCACTCAAGCTGTTAAAATATTTCGAGTGTAAGGTGATTTTCATTTTAAGTATAAAAATACTTTTCTTCATCTTATAGTTTTCATATGTATAACCTCTAGAACCTCTTAAGTGAATATCAAACGTTTGTTAAAGGTAAATGTTTGTACTTTATTTTTCATTTTGTCTACCATATCATTAACTCTAGTTATTTTTCATCAGTGTATTAGGTCGTCAAGAAATTAATGTCATGTTTTGGAACACCTTCATTAACCACCCCCCAAAAAATGTACGTCACATATAATAATTAACTGAACTGCCTAAACATCACGTTAGTGTAGCCTATATAATTTGTAAAGTTTAGTATACTTTAATCCCTGATGGCACATGATGAGAGACACATTCAGCATGTAATGCTGTTTGAATACAAGAAGAGAAACAACATCTCTGTAGCCACAAAGAATGTCAAAGAAGTCTATGGAAATGTTTTGAACATTCATAAGTGCTAACGATGGTTCAGCAAATTTCGTTCATTTGACTTTAGCCTTGAAAACTGTGATGGCAGGGGCTGACATGTTGGAATTGATATTGATGCTCTGAAAATGCTTGTTGAGTTTAACCCAAGGCAACACACTCATGAAAAA